ATATCGATATCCATATTTGGTGTTGTAATATAACGAAGTAAATATTTGGTGTACAAACTATTTTCACCAGGACCTGCGGCGTCCGAGGTTTTTCCTGCCGCGCTGGAAAAAGCGATAATCGTTGATGGTGGTCCTCCCATTGGTGCGAGATCATTTCTCAGTCGTGATCTTCCATCGAGACCAAGAGCTCTCATATATAAAGATAATATAGGATTACGACAACCATCCAGAATGCAGATAACCACTTTTGGTCTGTTTTGATGTATCTCTCTAAGTAAATCCTGAACGTTAACAGCATTGTCTTCAGTGGAATCTACTGCGTACAAATAATTTCTTCCATTAAACTCACCAGCATGGCCAGAAAAATAGAACACAACGGTTGCACCAGGGCGAATGGACCGTGCAAATTGACGAGTGACTGATAACATTTGATTATTTCGAAGATCGATCGCAGGTTGTACATTGAAACCTATTGAACGTAAAGAACGAGTTACCGTTTTAGCATCATAGACACACGACAGTAACTTGTTCTGTTCCAGGTAATCATCATTTCCAATAACTAAAGCTTGTTTGTCGAACATGGTGATAATACAGATGAATATAAATACGAAGATGTTAAATATTGAACAAGAAGCAACTAAAATAAATATTTTGATTATTTTCTTGGAACTTTGTATTCGGTAGAAATGTAGTTCTCATTATTTCGAGCTCAGACATTCAATGAATACTAAGTCTTTTACTAAAACAAACACAACTCATTTCAATTAGATCATCTACTGAAATAAAATTTGATAGACTGCAATAAAAATTGCGTCAACGGGGGCTCTATGTGTTTTATATCACTTGACACTTATTTTTCGTTACGGTTAGGGGTGTTACTTTATCTTTACTTTATAAAATAAAGATAAAGTGAATCTTTATCTTTATTTTATAAAGAATAAAGTTAATCTTTATTTTAAAAATAAAGTAAAGAAATAAAGTAAATCTTTATTCTTTATAAAATAAAGATAAAGATTTTCGTTACTTTATTCTTTATTATAAAGAAAAATAAAAATAAAGTAACACCCCTAGTTACGGTCGAACAAAATGAAAAGGAAAGAAAACAAGAAATGTTTTTTCCACCATAACATTTTGTCACTAAGTAGCAGGAAACTGTCCATTGATTTTATTTAATTATAATTACAGGTATGATCGCCATCAACTTGGGAGTTTCTACCGAATGAAAACTGAGGTTTTTTTTCATTGTAACGTAGAATAAAATCTTATGTAATATGATGATTACTTGTATTGATAAAGATTTTGTCTAAGATTGATGTAGAGAACTTTCATGTTTTGAAAAGAAAACAAATGTGTAATACACCTTTCCAATAGATGTTTTTAATCAAAAATTTTTAAGCGCGAATGATTTTTCCAAAATATTTTCGACAGTCAACATGCAAAAAACGAACCATTACATTTGTAACATTATATAATTTAATGATGTGTCGTCATAGTCATTTATCAAAGTGAAACATTGTGAATATGGTGTGTTGAGAAAGACATATGAGTCATTTGATCAGTTGTACGTACAAACAGAGTAAAAACATTTCATACTGAGTATAGGTTATTGCATACATTTTCATTATTTATTACTTAATTTAGTAAAGTAGTCATACTACTGAGTAGTAATAGTTTCTTGAGATTACTTTCACATTGTAGAACTGTTATCTATATTAAAATTATAATTATGATATTTATTTTTAGATTATCATACCGATTCACTTGTGATAATGTTTCAAAGACAAGCATTAGTCATTGGCAATGATACTTACCGAGTAAAACCCAGACGAACTTGTGTGAACGATGCAAACGACATCTCGTGTGCACTACGTACAATTGGATTTATATCACATTGTGCAACAAATTTGGAATCTCAAACAATGTTATTACGTATAAACAGATTTAGAGAATCAATTGCACCAAATGCAATAGTAGTAGTTTATTTTTCTGGTCGTGCTGTGCAATATAATGGCCATACGTATTTGATGCCAATAGACAATAATTGGATTTCTTCGGAAAATGTCGGACAGTCGGCATATAATGCGGAGGAAATCATTGGAATTATGCATACCAAAGGTCCTAGAGCAGTTATATTGATTCTCGACTGCGCACGACCTTATCAAACTCTTGTAGGTGAAACACCGTTTTTTGTTGACAGAGAACCATTGGGATTATTACAAGGTATGGCACCAGTACATCCACCACCATCAACAATCATTGCTAATTCCTGTGAGGCAGGTGCAACATTCTTCGGTTTAGCAGATAATTATCGAAATAGTATTTATACTTATCATTTACTTCGCTATATAACACGACCAAATATTGATATTGACACTATTTTTCGATGTGTTGCCTTGAATGTTGAAAAAAGTACTAACGGCAGACAAAGGCCTGATCGATACAGCAGTGTTTATGAACTTCTTTATCTTGTTATTAACTCACATTCGAAGAACCTAGCACGGTCAAGTACTATGCAACCAGATCAACAACTTCGTTAGTATATTCTGTTAAACTTTTAAACACTAATATTGTTTACATATGTTTAGAATTGATGAATTCTCAATCTTATCATCGGCCATACGACATGACCAGAATTTTGCCGCAACTGAGTCATTTCAACTATCAGTTTGGAATGCCAACGAGTCATTATCATGCTGATTCCAATTTTTCACCTGCAATCAAGAAACTTGGAAATACATCTACCTATCCGTTTACCAGTGGACAACAATACTATTTTTACTGAGAAAGAATTGACTCTATCACAAATTAAACTGAAGTTTATACTTATTCTAGAAAATGTTAATAGATAAATAATTACTCTTTTATCTGACACATAACTATCTTGAAGATGTGGGTGACTGTGAATGAGACATGATTCGAGCTATCACTCACATCCACACCCTCAAGATATTTTTATAAGTAGTTTTTGTTTATATTTTGAATAAGATTGAAGAGAATAAAGTAGGAGTTTATTTTATAAACTTAATATTTATGTGGCAACAAGAGCGAAGGTGCTGTGCTTGGGTGTGAGAGTATCATATTCTTCTCTCAAGTGTATATTGAATCCATGCCATTACTGTTGTTACTTAACTTAAAATTCTTGAGGGTGTGAGTCTGGAGAAGTGTCGGTGTGTTCACGTTTTTCCCACTTAAATCCGCACCCACACCCTTATTCGATAAATTATTCTCTCACTCATATTTTGCACACGACCAATTTCTTGTTTGACTAATTGGTGTAGCCACCATGTATACACTATACACTTAATGATAGATAATATTTTATAAGAAAGAAAACAATTACTTTGTTTTTTTACATTTAAACATTACCAATTAGTTTTCATACTCTTTTTATTAGAGTAAATTACTTCTATAAAAGATAATGAGAAGGAATATTATTTAAATATGTAATTGAAATCGATATTGCTGTACCAGTCATACTTTTTCTTATGCGTTCTTGTTCATCCAAAACGCACTTTTCGTAGGCATTTTGCATATCAGTAACAACAAGCTACCATTAAGACAAGAGAATAGTAATTATATAAATTTATTCATCATTGAAGAACGACGTAAACATCCATTATTGTTCAACAATTTACTTAGAGAAAGGTATGAAATAATCAAATATTTTTTAAAGTTTGTTTCGACGAAAGTATCGATAGAAGAGCAAAATTTTGTCTAAATTTATGACAAATAATTTATTAAATTCTATCGAAGAAAGAAAAGTTTTTTATAAGAGAAAAATGAAATTTGATATAGTATAGAGTACTTTATGAGAAAAAATAACTATAGTTTTAAGAAAGGCTCTATAAATATAGATTATTTTGTGTTTGTCATGTTTTTAGTGAATAGTTTATTTAAATCTAAAAACTAACGATATATATGAGTGAATTGCAACTTTTTGGTACAATTAGATTTTTGATGTATTTCGTTAATAACTCCAGTTTGCGCCAGCCGATTTCAACGATTTTTTGATATGTTATAGTGCTTTGAACCCCTCACTGCCATGCAAAATTTCAGCTCATTAGCTCATGTTATTGCTGAGCTATAAAAAATTTATGATGAAAAAATGTCATTTTTTCATGACATATGCTAAGAAAAGGAAATTTTTCGACTATAAAGAGGCAAGAGGAAAAGAAGATAATTGTTCTACTTTGTACAGTTTTTGACGCTCTATCGAAATATGTAACTAATTTTAGTTTGAATTTTCATTGGTTCGTTCATCTACTGGTCACATTGTTTAACAGACACCTGTTCGTTTTTATGTAGAGTGACGGAAACACGGTTCTAGCTCAGCCTATGATAGAGCTGACAGCGCGCGGATGATATAAAAAGAAAGCCAACACTTTAACTAGAAAACTGATGTAAAAAGGTTCTCTCTTATCAAGTTTATTTCAAACAAAAAAAAACGAACTTCCTAAAAAAAAGGACGTTTACTCGCTTTGTAGAGTGACGATTTGAAAATTGTCTGATTTATAACTCGCAAACGGGTCGTTAGATTTAGCTCAAATTTTTAGAGAATGTGTAAAACAAAAAGTTCTATTAGTGGTAAAAATTTCAGCCTTTGATCTTGTACCGTTCAAGAGAAATTTACATTATACTGAAAAATGTAGAGTGACGTTTTTCAATAAAATAACGTTTTTTATAGTACATTTACTTTGAGTAAGTCGTATCTCAGTTAATATGCGGGAAAGTGTTGGGAAATTTTTACTGTGTAGCACAGACATAGAGTATTATAAAATGCACTGATCAGAAATTGTCTAGGTCTACTTTCAGTTTTTCGCACCAATTGTACCGAAAAGTTGCAATTCACTCATATGTATCAAGATAGCTTCGAAACAATATAAAAATAAGATATTTAGTAGATTTTTCGAAAGTTTTAGTTTTATTACTATTCATTTTGTTAGAAGGCCTTTATAACACTTTATTTTTGTTTTGTTTTCTATTTAATTGTTTGATATAATGATGAGCGAAAAAAGTTACCTTTTGATTCTTTCTTTGCCAGGCATCACAAGTTTCAATGTATCAGTCATTGCACAATGACACCGAGTATTCTTTCTCTATTGACTTTCTTACATTTTATTTTCACTTTGGAAATCAATAATATCAAGTATTTTCAACATTTCTTCTCTTTATCATATATTTAACAGCTCTCCTATTTCTCATTGATTTGTTTTATGACGACTACTATTTTCTAAAAATAAGTTGTAGAGAAAATATTTCTATTATTTTACTCTGTTGTGTTAGAAACCTTGAACGAAAAGTAAAATAAGTAAGAGTACAGACTATACTAAATAGAAAGTAGATTAGGTTGTCAATAAATACAGTTTATTTAATCCTCTAGTATGTAATGTATTTTTGATTTCAACAGAATTATTTTGTTTATTTAGAACAAATAGACAATCAAAAAGGAAAGCTATACTACAAACTCGGTTTTTATTATTAAGATTATCTAATTTTTAACCTATTGATCAAGTATACAATATGATACCTATGGTTTCCGATCAAAAAACTATATATGATACCTATACTAAATTCAAAAAGAATTTAGTACTGGTTATTGTTACTGGTTTAGGATTTTTGGCTAATTTCGATGATCTAATTTATGTTCCTGCATTACCTTCTGCAGTTAAAGATCTGTATACAACAGACACATTACGTTTATTAACAGTGAGTGTATATATACTTGGAAACTCTTTTGGTGGACTTATTTGGGGAGTGTTAAGTGATTGTTATGGACGTAGATCAATTATGTTACTTGGACTTTGTGGTTTTTTATTATCCGTAGGTGGTTCTTACTTTTCATCAAATATAGGTATATTTTTAGTATCACGTGCGTTACAAGGAGCTTTCATCTGCGTAACACTAATTATTGGTCAAGCAACAATTGCTGATATCTATCCACCAAATGAACGTGGACGAGCTATCGCTTTTTTCTATGCATTTTATTTTGCGGCGATATTAGTGGGCCCCGTCATTGGTGGACCATTGTCTTATCATTTTGGTTGGAGATCTACATTTATTGTAGTCGCAATTCTTGCAATTGTTTTATTTATCCTTTATGTCTTATTCGTACCTGAAACACATCAGTATATAATTGTATGCGAATACCACAAAACAGGAACAAAACTACTTGAATATGACTTACTTGTAAAGCCAAAACTACAAAATCCATGTTTAACATTGGCATACTTAAAAGAGACAACAATTCTACCATATGTCTTTGTTTTAGCAATAGGATATATGTCAATGAATGTTGCACATATTTTCTTTCCTATTCAATTATTTAAAGCACCTTATGACTACAAATCAGACTTAATCGGTATATTATATGTTCCAATATCAATTGCAGCGTTTTCAGGTAGTATTATCGGTGGTATTTCATCTGATTATGCAGCAGTTAGGTATACAGAAACATTAAGAATTGATGAGGCACGTGTTGTACCAGCATTGTTATTTTCTATTCTAACACCTATTGGTCTAATCATGTACGGATGGTCATGTCAGTATGGTGTCCGTGTATCATTATCAATCATCGGAATAATCCTTTTTACTTTCGGTCAAACAGGTACTCGACCTGGTATCTATTCGTTCTATACAATTAAATATCAACAATATTCAGCTAATATTGTAGCAGCAAATAATTTTGTACAACTATTGTTAACATCTATTATGCTAACATTTACAGCGATAATTGTCGAATCGATTGGTAACGGACTATATTTTACAACTATAGCTTTGGCCAATATATTAGCAACAATCGTACCAGCGATCATTATTTCAAGAAAAATTAGATTATCATCTCATATTTCCGAAAAGATCCCTAGTCAAAGTACTCCACTAATAAGTACTGATGCTAGGCAATATGACAAATAAATATGAGTTTTGTGTATCTATAATGGTGTTCATATTCGTTCATGTAATACTGACTGTTTTTCTTTTTTGAATTGGATTTACGTCTTTGCAGGCTGATTGTTAGAATACAAAGCTTTTTAGAGAGAGAATTATTCGCGTGATGTCCAAAAAAAGTTCATAGAAACAGATTCAATCATCAAAAGCTGCTTGAATACATAAGGCGTATTTGTACTTTTCTCAACGAATTCTTCTTCTATAGGTCTGACACTAACAATAAATTTGAAAGTGTTTTTGTTCATTGATGTTCATCTAATTAGGAATATACTTCATTATTTTAAATGGCAAATGAGTTGAATTCTTCTACTCTCTCTCTCTATTAACAAATCTAAAAACAAATGAAAATAATTTAAAGTATTTCAATATCTTAATTTGAATCCTTACTAAATATTAAGAAAATTATTTTATTAAATAAATATAGAGATCTATAAGAAAAAAAAAGATTAAATCCGAACTCCCAGATTTGAACTGGGGACCTATAGGTTTCTATGATATATGTCCATTACAGCCTACCGCTCTGCCAACTGAGCTAAGTTCGGATATTAGAATAGAACTTTCAAATTAATATTTTTTTTAATGATTAACAAAAAAATAAACTTTTGATTTCTAAATCTTATCATTTTACACAATCATCTGAAATTTATTTATAAATACATTTTTAATTTCTTTTTACATTAATTAATTATAACCATTTAGAATTTTTAATTAATCATATTTTAATTAGAAAGAATAAATATTATTTGAAGTAAGAAACGAAACATTTTTCACAGAGATATGTATAGCGACATATTCTGACTTTTTAGTAAACCATTAGCATAATCTTTTAATTGGGTACTCAGAGATTGGCAATGATTTAATTAATGATGGATTTAGTTATAGATTTTCATTCAAGAAAACATAAATTTGAACTTATAATCAGTATAGTCTTCAATTTAGATGATTGTATGAACTTTCCAGGAGGGATTGCATCTAAGCAACGGCCGATTACAGCAGAACATTGCTCAACGGATGTTACCGATTTGGTTGATGTTTTTACAGTAGTTAGACATAAGTGTTGTTGGATTAACCTGAAAATTTTAGCTGAAATGGATTAGTCATTCCTGATATATCCTTACCTCAAGTGAGGGAGAGGGTCGGATATATTTGAGGGATTTATTAAGGCACTTACTACTAGTAAATTTTAATTTTCTGAAAAATGATGAAAGCGGTGGATGAGGCATGATTCGAGCTATCACCTACACCCACACTCTCATGATATGGAGTTGGTACAATGGGGATGAGAAGGGTGAGATTTGGATTCAATGAAAGCTCACGTACAAGCCTATAATCCTAGCCGCTGCTACGGTTACCAGTCAAAGGACACGAATACTCACTCTCACTCTCTGTTACTTTTTGCATAGTGAATTGTCTTGCATTGTTTATTCTAACTTGTTCACAGTTGCCGTTTGCAATCCTCGACAGAATTAAAAATTGAAAGTAGTCAGGAGAACACAAAGAAAGACGACAGGCGACATAATAGATTGAAAATGTGCCACGTCACTGCGATGCAAGAGTAGCAAACGAATCGCCGAAAAAATTACCCTCTCTGACAAAAACAGAAGTAGTCAAAGCCTGAAAGAAAAAGCATCGCAATTCATTTGGTAAGATTGATTTTCGATGCTTGATTGTGATGACTTGCTTATCAGAAACATTGGAGAGGTTCGATACAGTATTTCGCATGTTATAAAGAGATCGATGATGTAACGCAGAAATAGAACTCATATCGGCTATTGAGGATCGGTCTGTCTATCCCACGTTTTCCATTACGATCAAAATGCGATGTAACTACGGCGTAACTGCGATCACACTGTGAGGCGTAATTGCAGAAAACCTGCGACGCAGTTGCGTGTAACTGCCTCGCATAATCGTAGTTGCTCGCAATTGCGACGTAATAATCAAGTTATCATGTACTCATATTTCTATACCCCGATCCACATGTACACCCGGCCACACACCCTTATTCACATCCCGCCCATATCCATAATGACATACACACGCACAGTCAAATCCGCACCGGCATTCACATTCCATACACGTCCACACGCACACCGACACTGGCACCCACTTCGCACCATCTCACCTACACTCATGGTCACACCCGCGCACCCACCCATGGCCACCCACACCCACACACTAAGGATAATTATCGTTATTATTCAAAAATATTCAACATGTGAGAGAGACAAATGCGGTTACTGCGTAACAGTAAGCGCAGTATTATTTATGTGACTCTCACTGCGAAAACTACGGCGCATGTATGATCCCAAATGCTTAGCATTAGGCGTAGTTCTATTTATGCAGTTCTGACTGCGACAACTGCGACGCAGTTACACGCCATTGTGTCGCAAAAGGGCCAATGCGCGCAACTGTGACGCAGTCCTTAAAAAAGAAGTGAAATGTGATATCTTTTTTTTCCGTTTTTCTCGCATAAAGCTAATCACACTTTTGGATTTTAATAGAATTTTATATACAACATAGAAGAAAATTTCAATGAAAGTTGATTATCTCTATTACTCGCATCCCAGGTCGAAAAGCTTTCAGCGCAATTTCTTCAGGATTAAAAATGTGAAACCAGATGTCACTGGTGTTGCTTATGGGAAAGAGGGGTGAGGGTGTGAATCTCAAAGAATGAAGAAACACCCACATTCACAACAACACCCACACTCACGCCCACACCCTCACCCTCACCCTCACCCTTACCGTCACCCACACCCACCCACCCTCGAGAATAAACTCCGAAACGTAATATTGCTACAGCAAGCTGGCGTGCTGCAGTAAGGGCAAAATCGTTACGAACGTACACACTTCTCATGCTGTGAAGTATGAGTGATTGAATGATTATCGTAATGTAACTTCGCTTTTAGAATACGTTCAACATGACAGAACATTCTTCTGAACAAATTGCTTCCAATGCAACAATAGCTATCACCGTCAAGGAGCAGTCTACCAGTACTGTATGGGACCTTGAAGAACTATCATACGATGAAGCAAAACTTATTATTCTTAAAAATAGCGATTTATATCTAAAAAAAGCGATTGAACAAGCTAGTGGTTTATCCTATAACGAAGACAGAGACCATCAACTAAAAAGTTTGATTGATGATCATTTCACGCTTCGAAGGTTAGTGGGCAAGCTGAATATTATAAACAACCTCTATGATATCAGTAGCAATGGACAGATATCCCTGAAAAACCAAGTCGAACGATTTGTTCATTCAATCAGAACACAACTAATGTCGTTGGAAAATAATATTTTTTGTTACGAAAGTATGTTTGCATCGGGCGAGTCTCAGAAAATGTTATTCATTCGAACATGTTATTATCATTTTATTCAAATTATCTTTGAATCCAATAAGCATCAGAGAATTTGCATTACCGGTAGTCCGGGAATTGGAAAGTCGAGTTTTTCTATGGTTATTATTATGTATGCTCTATACAGGTACAAAAAGAATATATTATATCATTCAGATAATCAACCCACAATTTTTTTTGAATGGAAAAACCAATCGTCAGTTATCTTAGAAACGAAGGAACCCATACTAAATTATTTACTGAAACCAAATACCATTTATTTGGTATCTGATTGCAAACCGTATATTCCACGAGAATGTGATTGTAAGGCCGTGTTTATTCATTCTCTAACAAAAACGTCAGTATACGAGATCGTTAGAAGTTATGACGCAACTCTTTTGTATATGCCAAGATGGACATTAGATGAACTCAAGCTGTGCAGATCGACTATTTATGGAAATGTTTCTGAGAAACAAGTTGCAACCGCTTACGAATACCATGGAGGAATTGCTAGAATTATATTTGCATCAAACTCCGACAAAGAAGTGAAATTATTGTGCCAATCCATTATGAATTGTAATATAAATCTTTCGAATTTCAACGGTTCTTTGTCATCTATAGAAAACGCTGATGAAAGATTGTTACATTTTGAACCTACTCCACCGAAAGATTGTAGTCACAAACCACGTCATTTCATCAACTTAAAGCATTTCGAACATTTTAGCACGCTGCTAACGCAGTAGAAGAATTATACAAACACTGTTTCGTCTGACGAGTCAAAATTGGATGATCCGGATAGACAACAGACTTTTCCATATGAAAATTATGAGCTTGATTTCGCATCCGATTGGGTTAAGTCACAAGTCGACGATAAGTACACTCGTAACAACATTCTACTTGCTAAACGTCTAGTAAGATTCACAAATCAGCACCCATCGCTTGGTAGTTTTTCTGGAAACATATTCGAAGCTATGGCACATGCTGTGCTCTCAGCCGGTGGTGAATTTGTTATCAGACGGCTTGCAAATCGTACCCAGTTGAAACACGAGAAGAAACTCACAATTGACAAAAGCGGCATAAAAAGATACAACTTACTCACAGAAGTGACCGAAGAAAACCAGTACTACAGGCCTAACTCCTCGATGGCACCGACTTTTGATTCCATCATTCTTAAAACTTCAAATTTGATACATGCATTTCAAATGACTGTCGCAGTACGCCATCGTATTGCAAAGACCGGCCTATTAAATATAAAAGAAAGATTTCTGGACAACAGGGACTCGGATGATGACGAGCCGATTGAAATTCACTTGTATTTTGTTGTGCCAGGCTCCGTCTTCGATCAATGGAAATCTGAACAAACAGTCACATCGACCGGCAACAACGAAAACGAGGAACCTCCAGATTTCAAACAATATGTTTTGAAGATACCAACTTGAGGGTGGGTGAATGTGGGTGTAAGTGAGGGTGTGGATCCATCATATCTATTTTACGCACATCCACACCTACACCCACACCTACACCCACACCTACACCCACACCCACACCCACACCCACACCCACACCCACACCCACACCCACACCCTCAAGATTACGTTTCTGGATCTCAATAGTATTTTATACACAGCATAGAAGAAAATTTCGATGGAAGCCGTCTATCTCAGTTATCCGTATCCCAGATCGAAAAGCTACCAGAGCAATCCTTTCTAGATTAAAAATATGAAACAAAATGTAACTGGTGTTGCTTATGAGAAAGATGGGTGTGGCTGTGAATGTTAGACAATAAAGTAACACCCACACCCACCTTCAAGATTGTATTGTTTATTACTGATTTACCTGGTATTATCAATGTTACATTTATATCCCCTGTTAATATAACTAATTTTGAGTTTGATATGTTGATAGAGAAACTTAAAAATACAAAATGATAATGGAACATTTTATATATGACAAATAAGTCATTATTTAGATATGAAATGTCATGCAACAATTGAGAATATTTCAGCTCTTCAGTCATACCATTCTTTCTCTTTCTTGCTTTAATATTTTTCTTTTAATCAAATTTATTTTTATCATTTTATATATATTTATTCAATAAAATTTTTTTGGTTTTCCATCAAAATCAAAATTTCATAAAAATTCAAACTGTGTGTCGCTCCCTCACTCATATCCAAATACATCAGGAAAAATAAAATAAAATTATGGATTAGTGTCAACGCGCTAAGAACACGCCAACATTGTCATCATTAAGGTTTGCAACAATAATATCGGGTTTACTATCACTATTAAGATCAGCGACTGATAACGAAAAAGGATTTGAGCCCGTTGAGTAAGTATTTTGAGGAAGAAATGTACCATTTCCAGCGTTAATAAGGATGCCAACTTTATTTGTACCATAGTTTGCAACAATAATATCGGGTTCATTGTCTTTATTGATATCAGTTACAAATACAGAATATGGGCTCGAACTACTTCCAGTTGAATAAGTTAATTGCGAACGAAATGTACCATTGCCATAGTTAAGAAGAACACCAACATTGTTAGTACCACTATTTGCAACAATAATATCGGGTTTATTATCATTATTAACATCAGTTACAAATACAGAATATGGTTTTGAGCCACTTCCAGTTGAATAAGTTGTTTGAGGGCGAAACGTACCATTACCATAGTTAAGAAAAACGCCAACATTATTAGTACCATAGTTTCCAACAATAATATCCGGTTTGTTATCTTGATTAACATCAGCGACGAACACACCTTGTGGGTTAGAGTTCGTTCCAGTTGAATAACTTGTTTGAGAACGAAATGTACCATTTCCGACATTAATAAGGATGCCAACATTGCTTGTAGCATAGTTTGCAACAATAATATCAGATTTGCCATCATTATCGACATCAACAACTGACAGACATGCCGGTGATGAGCTACTTCCAGTTGAATAAGTTGTAGAAGGAAGAAACGAACCACTACCATTGTTAAAAAGAACACCGATATTATCCGCTCCTTGGTTGGCGACGATAATGTCAGGTTTATTATCACTATTAACATCAGTTACTGACAACGAGTTCGGATTTGTGTTACTCCCAATTCCACTTAGATAACTTGTTTGAGAATAAAATGTCCCATTACCGAAATTCAAGAAAACACCAATTTTGCCGATTGCAAAGTTTCCGACAATAATATCAGGTCTATTGTCAAAATTAACATCAACTACAAATACAGGCGCAGGACTCGAACCACTTCCAGTTGGATACGTTTTTTGTGCAAAAAATGTTGCGTTGTATTGAGCTATTATAAAAGAAAAATTCTCTTTTTCACATCTTGAAGGTGGGTAGATGAGAATATTTCTTCTCTACCGTTTCACTCACCCCTTGTAGTAGTAGTTGTTGTTGCTATTGTTCTTGTCGATAATGATGACGAAACAGTCGTCTGTATTGAAGATACTAGAAAAGCGAAGAATATTTATCGAACATAAAAAAGTGAAAATTTAGATATATAAACGAACTTACCATCTGATTGAATACGTGTTATTAATATCGCTGTTTGATTAATAAACATAAAAGTAGAATTCATACTAAATGTAATTACAATTGAAGTCGTATTATAAGTAAACAACTGACAAGTTTGATTTGTGTGAAAATAATTCAAAGCAGATATTAACTCATTTGATTTTATCATTTCACATATACATCGATCAAGGTCTAAATTGACGAATGATTGATTGATTGAACCAGTCGCTATATTATTTTCTATTATACCAATTTTAATCGATTTAGTAATCGAAAATAATGATAAAATAATGATCATCCAAAACATCATTTACTTACTAAACTTTTCTCACAACTACTGAAATAACAATTCTGACTATTTACCTTCGTTGAATGTTTATCTTTTCTTTTTAATTTGATATTTAATTATTTTAAAAAAACTAATATCCGTTTTACATGAAGCGTTCGTCAGAAAAAAAAGGCATGTATGTTTATATTATGCAAAGGAAACACTTCAGTATTTACATTAAATATTGAAAAAGAAAAAAATCTTAATAATTTGCTTAAAAGTAGAGATGGACTGAAAAATTAGTAATACAAAGAAAAAAATCTACTACAATTTAACAGAAAGTCGTGAATCTCTACTGTTGAAGAATATTTATTTGATGGAGGTATCTCAACGTATGAAAAAAAGGAGATGTTTTATGTGTGTTTTTTCTTCATTTTTGAGATGTGTGTACAGATAAGGAATGTAGTACAATCACACTTTATCTTTTGTATTTATTCACTTTACATATTATCATAAATTATTATTCAAAAAAAACACATTTTTGAGTTACATTAGTTGTTTTTTGTACTTGTGCAAAATGTTTTGAAATTTTTCTAATCAAACAAATAATTACGCAGTTGAAAAGAAAATCTTATAATACACGATAATAACACACGGAAAACTTTAGTTCAGCACAACGATAAATATGAAATATCCACTTTACAGAGTAATAACGCTCTCATTAATAGCCTCCATCGATATCAGGTAAACATTCCTCATTTGATATGTTCAATTAAGTTAAAAACTAATCACTTCGACTGAAAATTTTTACAATAGGCGAATGTAGGTGTAGTATTTTAGCTATCTCACATCTACATCCTAAATTAGCTATCGTCTTCGATATTTATTTCAAATATTTGTTTATTATTAGAAAGCAAATCATACATTATTCTGATTTGAAATTATGAAATAAAAGGACTCTTCGATTTTTTTCGTCTTGAATATGATTGAAGTAAAATTAAAAGTTAATGAAAAGAATCAATTTAGCAAAGAATTGGATAGCTAGCCGACGTAGCAATGCTGCATTGATTATTTTTATTACGTGTCATTTTAATATAACCTTCTGCACCCCAACTAAAATAATTATACATAAGAATATAAATTGTTTAAAATCTATGATAATTACCTGTTTTTCAAAAGCCAGTAATCTTTACTCGATTCATTTCCATAACCAACAATAAGCATACTATGATCAAGTTGAGTTTGTGAACAATCTGGCTCATTATAAACTAGAAATAACACAGTATAGAAAATAGTATGAACAAATCAAAAAGTACCTACCGCCACTTCTGTAGAACTGAAATAAATCCTGACTAGCATCAACAGAAGCTGCTACGAGTCCAAGTAAAGCAACTGCTTGTTGAAGTGTTGCTTCACTTCCATACGAAATTTTAACAAATCCACACAGTCTAAAGACAACTTTTGATGTCTTAAATGTACATGTATTTTCAATTGCTTTATATGGATAAGTATCGCTAGTTTGAATACCACCAGCTTCTTGGATATATTGGAAAGCTACAGTCGTTAATCCACCATAACAACCCATATTTTCAAGTAAAATAGAACAATCAATTAATTGTTGTTCAGAAAGTGAAACAAGTTTGCCAGTTTTAATTGCATATGCACTTTCAATTGAACCAACTGCTGCGAATGCCCAAAGTGATCCACAATGACCTTGATCTTTAACTGGAACTACAACATCTTTATCCCGCCAATCTATTAGAGAATAAGAAACAGTTAGACTTTTTTTGAATATCTTTACTATGAAAATCATTTAATAATTTTACAAATTCTTCGTTAGTCTATAGAATTACAAATCCAATGATAATGATCATATGAAAAACTAAATTTTACTAAATCTCCAAATTAATTCATTCCAAGCCAATATGTATAGACACCAAGATCAGCTTGACGATTATGTTCTTCCACAATTTTCAAATTATTTTCCCAAATAGCACGACCAGAATAAACGATTAAATTATGATATTATAATGACAAAGAAATTCTCATACCGAAAACGTTCTTCAACATTGGAATAACTTTTATTAAATTGATTTTTCCATATTTTCCAATGTTGATTAAGTGTCATGTTACGAGCACATGTGCTGCTCAAAAGAAATACAATAAGTAAAAGAACTGATATTCATCGCATCTAAATATTTCATTTATGAGTAGAATCATATTATTTTATCTACAAATACTTACATTTCTTGGGAAAAAATGAGTCTGATGTCATTCTATGATGATACAAATATTTATCTTGTTGCTTATCTTTAGTCATGTTTATTTTATTGAAGTGTAGCGTCATTTGATACTTTATTATCAACGTAATTCAGAACTCTAAAAATTAGTTGGAAATGATACTCCATCCATTTCTTCTGATCTTGCCTCTTATTTAAAGAGATTTTGCCTTATTTATAGTGCTTTTCAATAGTGATTTTCTAAATTTAAGCCACAATGGCGCGAGCGTAGCTGTAGTATTTAATTCCTCTTATACCCTCAAATTTATAGATTACGATCTAAGTAATGATATATATTCAATAAGTCACGTTCAGACCTTCGTTTATTGAAACATCTTGTTACGACTCGATAATGAATGAAGTTTTAATTTATCCGCTATTTCATTAGTATTCATTGTATTTGATAAATCTTATTTATTAACAAGAATAAATAATGGTGTGCGTGTGAAAAACGAACGAATGAATCCACATCCACACCTTCAAGATTTAATAGTATGTATTCTGTACAAATATTATAACTTTAAAGTAAATTTTATTTTTATTAGATGTATAAAACAATCCATCCTTAATCTTCACTAGCGAATTGTAAAGCATAATGAGCAAGTAAACGAGTTGTATCAACAACAGGTTTTTCAAGATTGTTTTCATTATATACAACAGGTAATTCTGTACATCCAAGAATAATTGCATCACAATCATATTTTTTAATATCATTTTGAATATTTTGTACCGTTGTTGAATTTATTTGTGATGGAATAATTTCATTTCGTATTAAATTTTCAATTTTATCACAAATATCATCTGTAGGAGTAATCGATGTTATATTTCTTGATTTTAATACTTTATTATATAATCCTCCTTGCATAGTCAGTTTTGTTCCAAGAACTAAAACTTTTGAATAACCTTTTCTATGACATTCATCAGCAACAATTTCAATTAAATTAATTACTTTCAATGGTGAGTTCTTTTCAATCATTTCTATAGAATAATGAGGAGTATTTGATGGAATAATAACAAAATCAGCACCAACTTTTTCCAGTAATTTAATTGATTCACATATTTTGTTACTCAAACTAATCCAATCTTTTTTATGAATATATTCGTAATATTCATCATAAGAAAATGCATGCATTGTAAATTCTGGATGTTTTTTTGATGAAGTAAGTTTTGCTGCTTGTGCAACAATTTCATTTGCACATAAACATGCACCAACTGTTGTAATATCAACAATTCCTATATGTTTCATTCTGTGTAATTTGGAAATAACTGTTAAATAAAATGTAAATACTGTTGATTTCTGAATATTATAAATTAAAATAAAATTATCTACCGGTTTTGATCGTTGTCATCTTGTGAAAAATAAAACAACAAAAACAGAATATAACAAAACAATAAAGAGGTCCAATGATATAACAATAACAATCCGCTTATGGTAAAGTGCACCATCTGTTGATGATAATATATTTATATTTTAATCACATATCCTTTCATAAATGTATAGTTTAATCTCGATATTTCTTCGTTTTACCTGTTACTGTCTATAGTTGAAGGTGTGGATGCGAATGTTAGTGGATATAATATTCATCTCACATAGACACATTTTTAAGTAGGGTGTGACAAAAGAAAAGCTTTCAGTATTATCTATATCGAATAACGATTTAAAAATGAAAAGAAAACGTGCTTATTTTGCGAAAATCTATCATTCTCGTCAGATCTTTATTGATTGTTGAATATTCAAACATGAATTGAGTACAGCATGGAACTCATTCTTTGAATTTAAAGGATTTATCTCGTGAATCAATGACGATTAACAGTAAGCATGAGTATATGTGTATTGTAATCGTTAATAGGACATTTGAATCCAAATAAAATGAACGAAAGACTTTTCAATGCTTTCAATCCGAAAAAAAGGATTGTATATAATTACAATGACTTGAGCACTAATATTTGTGGACGTATAGCTTATTTTTAATCATTTACTTGTTAGTAATAAGTACGCTATTTATTTATTATAATGAAAAATTTATAATAGTGGTTAGTAAAAACTAATATGAAGGTTAACTAAAAAAACATGTGAAATGTTCTATAAAGTTTATTATTTCACCGAAGAAAAATTGTTTAAATAAGATCCATTAAAGTTCTAAATATAAATGAAAAGTGACATTATATTCATCAGAATGAAATAAACTTACTTGAGTTGATGTCGATCACAAGAATAATGAAAAAGTTTCTTACACTAAAACAAAAATGAATTAATGAAACTGTTCATTACAAACGAAATGCTAAGAAGTATAATTTTTATATTTTCAAAAACTCATTATTTCAATTGTTGATGCCGAGTTCTTAAGTCGAACAGACCATAATACAACTTTTGTAGGCAAATTTTTCTATGATTACAGTACTGATGTAAGTATGAAGATAAACAAACTGTATTTAAAACTCTCGCGATATCAATCATACTTATCTATTTGTAGGACTCATATTACTTACTGGTCATATTCATTAGATATCCCGACACATTATTTGTAGGAGTCTGTGATATGTAACCAGCTGCACATCCTAATATCTCACAAATGTTCTTATATTTGTAAAAGTGCACAGCGATACAGCCAGTACTAGTGGAACATGCGTTTTGACATGACTCTAATGTTTGACCATTAAGTGTCTTCGCCACATTACAGTTGAACTTTTGATTTATACATTCATACCAAGAAATTTCTATGATAAAAAAACAGCATAGTTTTGTAGTAATCAGTAGTGAATTTATCTACAACAATATTTTCTATTTGACTGTCTACTAGATATATTGAAAGCCGAGTGTTCTCGTTCGTTCAAAATCTGAGAAGAATACTATTCTTTTGAAACATTTATAAATCGAAAGAAATAATCATCAAATTTGTTAGTGAAAAGCATCGTTCACGTTTTTAACCTATTAATTTGATAGCGAAGACTTGAATTTCATTAGAAGATAATCAACCCATTTCACTTAGAGGTATCTTTCTGTAAAAATATACATGGATTACTCACTTAGATTGATCATTAACATGGCGTTTTGTGGCGGATTGTTAGACATGGACGCTTGCGCAGACGCTATTGTATCTTGCATATTGCATTGCTCCAGAACACAATTAGCATCCATGATGGACCACTTAATTCCATTACAATTCGTGGTTGCAACACATGCGTCTTTACATGTGTCTAATATTTGACCAGTGATAGTTTTGATCTTTGTGCATGTACTGTCAACAATAGAATCTGGTAGCGGCCCCCACTGAGTTACTTTGAAAAAAAAATATTTCAGTTTTATTATAATCATTGATGAATGTAGATCAAAATTCTTTTTACCAGTATATAGCACTCTCTGTGTATAAGGAAACGTAAAGAAACAAGATTGTGACTACTTTTAATTAATTGCTAGTGGAAAAGTCTATATACTATTGATGGTTTTGTTCATATTTATTTCTATTGTATTTCTACTAATCGATACTTTCAAAAACAAATAGAAACTTTTTCTTTTAATTTAAAAAGCATTATCCCCGTTATGTTAACTAAAACAGAATTATGAAACAGAAGAATCATTTTCTTTATCAAGTACTAAAATGTCTCAAATTATTGAAGAAGATGATTTTCATGGTTATGAATTTATTAATGTACATGATGATAGTATAGAAAAAGGTTCTGGAAAAAAATGAGAATGAAAATATTAATTTTCCTTACTACAAAATATTGCACCAAAACTTTATGAAAAGATATCATGAATGTGTTCATTATACTACTACTATAATTTTTTGTTTTTCTGTAGTTTTATGTTATATTTTCTATTCGAAATAATTGATTTTTGTTAGAAGATTAAGAAGAATTCTAAAAGTTTGAAGAAAAAGCAAACGCTATATAATACATTAATATAAATTTGATTTGGTTGAAATTTAATGTTAAATAGGAATAGGGTCTACTAAAATTACCGTTGAACCTGTACGAGGACTCGAGAAAAAAAAGAAAAATTAAACCTGCTCCTCCCTACTCAAGATGATCAATATAAAAGGAAAGTCTTACCTGTCTGATCACGCTTCTGCATTGTTGATCGAAGATCCTCATCACTATCTTCATCACTATTTAACTGTGTTTGGACACGTCGTAAAAACATATTGTACTGTTTATTCTTGCCATATTTGTAACCATTACCTCGTCGGCGCAATGCTTTGGTGTAAGAGTCATATGTTGCAGCAGACAAATGTTTCGCCGTAATTGCAACGAATACCAGAGTCACTAGCACTATACTGGACGAACGCATTTGTTTGTTATTGAGTGAGGATATGAAATTATCTGTCGATTGGTAGAAAATCGATTCGAATTTATACAATCGGTTAGTAAAAGCGCTTATTCAATCGGAACACAGTCTTATTTTGAAGGAAAGAAAGAAATTATCAAATAAAGTATGCTGTGTAATCAACCAGAACACGGTCTTATTTCGAAGGAAAGAAAAAAATTACTAGCTAAAGCACGCTGTGTATTCAACTAGAATATGCTGTTGTTAAATCATATCGTAGTGTAACATGAATAAATTTTGCTCGTTACGAAATGAAAAGAAAAGAAAACTGATCAATTTGCTTGCTGCGAGTCTATACATCAAACATTTTGTTTGCTTTTTAAATGTTTGCTTACAAAATTTATTTTATAATAAAAGATAATGGAAATATTATTATTCAAACAATGAATTATACTTTGTATTTCTGATATCAATTCATTAAGTCAAACTTGATAAGCATATATGTTATTGAAAATTAATTTCTTTATTATCGTATTCTGTGACATTCTACACATGAATATAGGTTTTTTCGAAATATAATTTATCTCATTTATCAACCAAAAATTTTGAAGTCATTAATAATTCATTCGTTAAATTTTATTAAATAAGTAATAGGAATGGATACTTACGCGTTTTAATGAGCAATAATACTCATGAAAACATAATTGTATTACAAAGGTCAATATTTACATTAGCAATTTGTAACTCTTAAGTGATAAGGGAGCTAACTGGCACGCTTTCCATTGATGTTTGCTAGAATCAATATTGTTTTTCAACAAGTTATAATTGTAATGAATGTTTGCTAGTGTTTTTTGTCAAAGAATAATTGATGTTTCTTTACTTTCTTTCTTCAGGCAATGAATAATTCTAGCTTTTCCTCTCTGACTAAACAATGATAAATATTACTTCGAATTCATCTCTAGCAAATGCTAAAATATAAGAACTTTCTCTCGTATAATTCTAATATTGCGTCGTTTATACATTTTATAAGTTATTCTGTAGTTTAGAAGTAATCTCAGTCGATATTATTAACTTGACTTGTATTATAACAAAGGACACCGCCGGATTTGATCATGAATCTGCCACCCTAATGCAGAAAAATTTCATCCATCTAGAAAGAAAGAGCATAAAATTCTGAGTCTGTTAGTGATTATTCCAGCCTTCTAAATTTTATCCAAAAAACTCACTTTTCCACAGGTTTTCTCTAAAAATTCAATAAGAATCCATGTATTTTGCCGATGTTTATTGAATTTTTAGAGAAAACCTGTGGAAAAGTGAGTTTTTTGGATAAAATTTAGAAGGCTGGAATAATCACTAACAGACTCAGAATTTTATGCTCTTTCTTTCTAGATGGATGAAATTTTTCTGCATTAGGGTGGCAGATTCATGATCAAATCCGGCGGTGTCCAAAGGACAAACGATCTTTTAGGATAATTTGTTGATTTTTAAGGATGAACTCCCATTTCGTCCAAAAATGAAATTTTAATGACAAGGACACAGGTATATAGGTGGATCTAAATGTGCATTTCAGTATGAATAAGACTGCTAGCTTTATTACGAATGTATAGAATATTTTTATTTGAGCCACAAATCTCAAATTTTTCTACACTTAGGTGCTCATAGTTATTACTATGTTAGAGTACATTCAAAAGAATATTTGAGCATTTGTTGAGGCATCATCATGGTGGAGTGTGAGTGTGGGTATAATATTCATCTCATATTTACATTCAGTCACAGTCACAACCACTACCACATCCGCACTCACACCCACTCATCTTCATATGATATAATTTAAGTTTCACAATTTGAACTTCTTGCTATCAAGAACGACTGTTTATTGATGGAGAGAACCATGCAAATATTATACTTCGTCATTTACGTATTTCATTTTATCGTAACATAAGTTGTATGCAATAACAAAAATATTCTTTCTTTTCTACATGTAATATGTTGTTCTGTTTGAAGTGCGTCACGTTGTGTTTCACAATTCGATGTAATAACTAACTTACTCGAGCGATGACGAATATTTATCGAAGGTAAGAATAAAATAGAGTCCATTTACTTTATTAGTTATTTCTTTACATTTTCGAGAGTGAACACGTAAGTATTTTGATTATTCCTTATCCTTAAAACGCGATACTCATACTTATTCATTCACATCTAAATAAGTCACAATAATTTTTTTCCCTTAGATTCTCATATAGCAGAGACTACAAACGAAAAAAAGCGATTCTATCCCCACTCGAGAACCATCGTATATGAGATACGTCTTGACTTATAAACAAATTCGTTCTATTGAAAATCTTTCAGAATCGCTCCATATTTCGTGTAGGTCAAGGATACTTTTTTTCTATAACTTTTATTCGAGAGTTTATGTATATATACAAAGCATCCATTGATATTTTGTTTTTTCGTTTAGTTAAAATAAAGAGAAATATATTTTGAGATAACAATGCTTGATGAACAAGAACTTGTCAACTATAATGAAACAAATAATGCATCACAAATAGAAAATAAAAATGATGTAACATCGTTAGAAAGTGAAACAGCAATAAATTCACAAATATCAATAGCAACACGTAGTTTTAAAGATTATCTTTTTAAACCTGAATTACTTCGTGCTGTTATGAATTGTGGTTTTGAACATCCATCAGAAGGTTTTATTTAAGAAAAAGAGAAAATAATTTTCAATAAAAACTTATTTGTTTATTCTATAGTTCAACAAAAATTTATTCCACAAGCTATTCTTGGTACAGATATTCTATTCCAAGCTAAATCGGGTATGGGTAAAACGTCAGCTTTTGTACTTGCAACACTTCAACAACTGAAACCTATTGATGGACAAGTAAATAGTTTTCATAAAATAAAATTTTCTTATGTAAGATTCAATTTCATTTTTAGATATCTATAATCGTCATTTGTCATACACGTGAATTGACATGTAGTATAGGTCGTGAATATGAACGTTTTTGCAGGTATATGCCATCTGTGAAAGTCTCCACGTTTTTTGGTGGTGTACCAATAACAAATCATGAGGATGTTTTAAAAAATAATTGTCCACATATTGTTCTTGGAACACCTGGTAGAATTTTAGCTTTAATAAAGAAGGAAGTACTTAATTTATGTTATATCAAACATTTCATCCTTGATTCATGTGATTATTTACTTGAATCATTTGGTAAAAAGAAATAGAATATTTCAATCTTTCATTAATTCTAATATTTCTATATATAATCATAGATATGCGTCGAGATGTTCAAGAAATATTTAAAATGACACCACATGAAAAACAAGTATTGATGTGTAGTACAAAATTAAGCAAAGAAATGCGAACAATATGTAAGAAATTTATGCACAATGTATGATGGAAACCGTCCTTTCTTCGATTCAAAATAATAATATTTTTATTGTCTGATTTTATAGCCATTGGAAATTTATATGGATGATGAAATTAAATTGACAAACCATGTAAGTTTATTTATTTTCAATAAATATATAGAGAACTGCTCACAAATGTGTAGAAACTGTTCGATTGCAAACATACTGAAAGACAGACTTTTTTCCTTGAGAATGTGAGATAACATAGTACTCTGAGACAGGTCGATCTTCTGTCCAGAGCTACAATTAGCAATAATTCTAGAGAAAAACTATCTTCGGATAGTGTATCCTCACCATAAAGGCAGAGTATTCTTTCTAATGGCCGTGTTATCTTTTTAAATCTTTTTTTTAATGAAGGATCTTCGTCAATATTATATAAAATTACATGAAAATGAGAAAACTCAAAAATTAGCTAATTTACTTGATAAATTAGAATTTACACAATTAATTATTTTTGTTAAATCCGTATCACGTTGTATTGATTTATGTAAATTATTAATTGAACAAAACTTTCCTGCTATTGGAATTCATAGTGGAATGGCACAAGAAGAACGGTTGGTTGATTTTTAATTAAAATACAATAGATAAATTATTTATTCATTTAGTTTAGCACGCTATAAACAATTTAACGACTTTCAAACACGTATTCTTATTACAACAGATCTATTTGGACATGATATTATAAATATTGAACGTGTTAATATTATATTGCATTATGATATGCCAGAAGATATTGAGACTTATCTTCATCGAGTATGTATAATAGAATAGTTCTGTATATTGAATTCATGAAAATATATCATTTTAGATTACTCGTGCTGGTCATTTTGGCAGAAAATGTTTGGTATTAACATTTGTTACAAATGAAAATGATACAGCAATTCTTAATAAAGTTCAAAGTCGTTTCGAAGTACAAATTACTGAAATGATGAATGAACTTGAAATTACTACACACAGTAAGAATCTATTTTTTCGTGCATTATAATGATGCTTTCTTTGTTTTTTTTAGTCGAAAATCGTTAATCTATCTGGTCTTGTTGATTCCAATAAAACACACAAACATTTCTTTCTTTCTTTTTTTTGCCAAAAACACAACATCGCTTAAAAGAATTTATATAATAATGACCTGGATAATAATTACTTCTTTATAAAAACAAAAAATTGTTTTCTCATGTTAAGCGTGAGTTCCTGTTTTTTTCAAAGTTAAATTTTTTATTATAAAAAAAGAGACTTGATGTGTAAATAAATGATAATTCTTTTAGATGATCCGAAAGTACAAAACATACAACAAATTAAAATTAAATAGAGCAAAAAGAAAATGTTCTTTTTTATTAAAAAATAAATAGCATGTACTTATAAATCTATTTGATGAGAGATAATTATGTGTTACAATAAATTTTGGTTATTTTTCATTATAAAGAGAGTGTTCTCATTGATATATTTAGCTTTTCCTTCTTTCCAAATAAAATAACATTTTCTTCATCTCCATCTAAACGCTTGATATCAAATGCATTTGGACGAACACGGCAGATGTTTCGTTTTAGGTGCGTGTCAAACGCAACTGAAATGTGTTTTTAGATGCGTTCGAGGGCAAAAAAACGTTTTCAAATCTTGTTGATTAGATATGTCCTGCGTAATTAAACGTCATCGTTGCGAAGAAAGAGAAAGAATAAAACATATCTACAACTCGTTTTTATTCATCATTAATGTAATGACGCTGTCGGTTAAGTTTATTATATTAAGATGAAAGATGTTCCTTCGTTCTATACAATAATTTAGTTGATCATTAGTTTTCAATGTCATTTGTTCTTTGAAGTATAATATAATTGCAATTATAGTATTTTTTGAAGAGTCAGAGAAAATACTACATGACATAGTACATTATTCTTTTTAGAAGTTTTACTTTTGAAGCAGATATGTCATCGTCGACTATTTCAGCTCTTATTTTCGCCACACGACAAGTCTCTATTTATTTGGGTACAGCTGTTCTTGTTGCTGGTGTGCTTGGTGGATTATTCAATATTATTGTCTTTCTCAGTCTTCGTACCTTTCGACAGACCTCTTGTGCATTCTATTTGGTCATTATGTCTTTCGTCAATATTGGTTCTTTGATGACGACTACACTTTCTCGTATCATGATCAGCGGTTTTGGCATCGACTGGACTCAAAGTTCGCTAATTTATTGTAAATTCAGATTAGCCTTTGTACAACTTTGTGCTCTAACTTCTTTAACATGTATGTGTTTGGCAACACTCGATCAATTTTTTGCAACATGCTCAAGTCTTCGATGGCGACAGTGGAGTAGTAGCAAGCTAACTTATCGTTTAACTGCAATAACAGTTCTATTTTGGACTTTTCACGGAGTTCCATACGTACTTTATTACGGTCATTTTCAATCTCCTACAACGGGTCAAGTTAGTTGTATCATAACAAATCTTATGTTTCAGAACTATTACACTTATGGATACAGCTTAACGTTGATGTATTTTTTGCCAACTGTTCTTACGATCGTTTTCGCATTAATGGCTTATCGTAATGTACAAACTATACCTTATCGAACAGTACCACTTGTTAGACGTGAATTAGACAAACAATTGACAGAAATGATTCTTGTGCAAGTTGTGTACAACTTCATTACTATGACACCATTCGCTGTCGTCACCATTATTGGCGCGACCACCAACGTCACCAATAATCCAGTCCTCCAAGCACAGATGCAGTTTGCGAGCATTCTTGGTTTCTTCGTTTACTATCTTTATTGGGCTGTAAGTATCAATTTAATCAAATTGAATCTCATTTTGAATTTTCTCATTGTATTTTTATTTAGAGTTCTTTCTACATTTACATTTGTGTATCCGAAAGATTTCGTCAACAATTCATATATGTCATCTTCGATGTTCACATGAAAAGATTGCAAAAAGTAAAAATTCCAGCTATCAATCGAATTCTACCTCAAGTCTAACAGATACATTGGAACAGTTATCACGTATATTATGTTGTTCGTCTTGTTGTTGTGTTACTCAAAACTACACTTACAACTATCTTATTCATGTTCTTTTAAATATTGAATAAAATTTTAGATAGTATTGTGTAAGAATTTATTTTATATCTACTTCTAATTACAGACGTTATTAAATGACTTCAAATGAAATTACACAGCAAGCATTCACCGTCAAAAAATAGATATGTTCTCTTTGATCGACTTAAGCTAGAATTATCATTATATTTAATCATTTTTTTCTTTTCAATGTACCGAAAGTTAAGTTTGTAATTAGAAATACAAAAGGACGCAGAAATATTTTATTAATAATCATCAATATAAAGGGGAAAAAAGGATTTGTTCATTTTTTTTTAATTTATAATTTAAACCAATTGATTTGAACTGATTGAGTATTAACTGAATCAGGACCAATATAAATATTAAAAAGTCCTTCTTCCCAAATATAATTAAGATTTGAATCAAAAAATTTTAAATCATCAGTTGTAATAATAAATGAAATTTCTTGACGTTCACGAGCTTGAAGAAATACTTTTTGAAAATTTTTTAATTCACGTACAGCTCGTGTTACACTTGCAACTGGATCACCAATATATAATTGAACAACTTCTTCTCCATCATATGCACCATTATTACCTAAGACGAAACGAATAGTTAAACGATCAGAATCACCATGAAGTTGTGTTTTATCAGCATTTAATGGACCAAAACTAAATGATGTATAACTAAGACCATAACCAAATGGATATAATGGATCATTTGATATATCTAAATAACGACTCTTATAACGATTAAGAAAGTCACTTGAATTAAATGGTCGTCCAGTATTTTTATGATTATAATAGAGTGGAATTTGTCCAACAGAACGTGGAAATGTTGCTGTTAATTTACCAGCTGGATTATAATAACCAAAAAGTACTTCTGCTATAGCATTTCCTGTTTCAGTACCAGCAAACCATGTTTCTAAAATAGCTGTTGCATGTTGATCTTCCCATGTTAATGTCATTGGCCGTCCATTCATTAATACAATAACAACAGGTTTATTTGTATTAAATAATGCTTGAAGTAAAAGTTGTTGACATACTGGTAATCCAATATCTGCTCGACTTGCTGCTTCACCTGTCATGCCTTGAGTCTCACCAACAACAGCAACAATAACATCAGATTTTTGTGCAGCTTGAAGAGCTTCATCAATCATTTGTGTAGCTGTTCGATTATCTAAGATAATATCACCACCATATGCATTTAATAATTTAAGCATATCTGGATCTTCAAGAAGATTCGCTCCTTTGACATGCAAAACTTGAATATTGTTTCCAATAAGTTGATTAATACCATCAAGTACACTAACTGCTTGAGTCCAATCACCAGCACCACTCCATGCACCAAGTAAATTTCTACGATCATCAGCCAATGGACCAACCAACGTAATAGTTAAATTTGATCTTGCTAATGGTAATATTTGTTTATCATTTTTCAAAAGAACAAAAGAACGACGAGCAAAATCTCTTGCTGCTAAACGATTTTCTTTCGTAAATATATCTGTATGTGCACGTGATTCATTCACATAATGAAATGGATCATCAAGTAAACCTAATTTATATTTAGCTTCTAAAACACGACGACATGCTTGTTCAATTGTTTGTTCAGTTACTTTTCCTTGTTGTACAGATTGATTCAATGTTGATAGAAATCCTTGACTACCCATGTCCAAATCAACACCAGCATTGAGAGATCGAGCACTTACTTCTTGTAAATTACCTAAACCATGAGGAATCAGTTCATACATCGCTGTAGCATCTGTAACAACAAATCCAGTAAAATTCCATTGATTACGAAGTAAATCAGTTAGTAACCATTGATTCGCTGTTGATGGAACACCATTAATTTCATTAAATGATGTCATTACACTACCAGCTCCAGCTTCAACTGCTGCACGATAAGGAGGTAGATAAAATTCATACATTCTTAAAGGACTCATATCAACAGTATTATAATCACGGCCAGCTTCTGCTGCTCCATATAAACCAAAATGTTTAAAACATGCCATAACTGTGTCTACATCACTTATATTACTTCCTTGATAACCACGTACCATAGCAGCAGCTACTTGACTACCTAAATAAGGATCTTCACCAGCACCTTCTAGAATTCTACCCCAACGTGGATCATGTGCTATGTCTACCATAGGTGAAAATACCCAATTAAGAGCATCAGCAGTTGCTTCTCGAGCTGCAATACGTGCACTTTGTTCGATTAATGTCATATTCCATGTTGCACTTAAAGCTAAAGGAATTGGAAAAATTGTTTTATGTCCATGGATAACATCAAAACCAAAGATAAAAGGAACTTTTAAACGTGAACTATTTATTGCAAGTTCTTGTAATTGACGAACAGCTTGAGGCGTAAAAATCCCCAAAACAGCACCAATTTCACCACGACGAATTCTTTCTCTTTGCTCGTTAGTGATAACTGGACCATCAGCATTAAAACCAACACCCTCGAGATTCAATTGACCAATTTTTTCATCTAATGTCATTTCTGATAGAAGTGTATCAACAATAGATTTCATACGTTGATCATCTTGTGATTGGCTTTGTTTTATATCTTTTGATAAAACAATTTTCCAATTCAATATCATTTCTACTGATTGATCATATGATAATGGGAAATGAATTTTCTTGTAAATAGTTTTATAACTTGGTGCTGTTAATCGTAAGAAAATTTCCTCATTAAAATCTATTATTAAATTGGTTAGATTAAAATAACCATCAGAATTCGAATGATAAATATTAGAACACACTGATCGATGATTTAAATGTATACGAATAATTTCAACATTTGCATTACTTATACTCTTCTGACAACGTGTTGTATAATCCACTAAACGACCAGTAATAGATATTTGACGTTTATTTGTTGTTGGTAAATTTAATATGTGACATATTTGTCGTGATTGAATAAATTCATTTGCTGTTAATTGAATATCATCATTTGATGTTAATTCACATTCATTTGTTCGTACTTGTTGTAAAACGAAAATTTGAAGCAGAATAGTCAAGAATATAAATGTCTTCATGTTTGAGTGTCTCCCATACGAATAAAATATGTGCGCATTTATTCTTTAGATAAGAAATGAAAGTTTACGAGATAACTGAAGCAAACAAATAGATATACTTTTTCTAGTCTTATGATAAGTAGGCAGCAACCGCGCGAGCGGGGAAAAAGGGTGAGGGAGCGTACATCCTCCTCAATAATTGTAAATTTTTGTTTTTTTCAGCAACGGGAGCTGATTTGGAACAAATTTTGTGTTTTTTTAGCAAATTTTGCTAAAAGTACCCTTTTATACCTCCCTCCCCACACAATTTAGTTTTCTTGTTAACTTATTTTTGTTTTTACTTTTCTGTTGTAGAAATAAATATTCGTAATCTTCATTATAATAGATATCTTATAGATCAGTGTAATGAAAAATTGAATTGTAATCGTTTACTTGTTAATGAGAATATTTTCCCGAATAGTTTTGATTAATCATGCTATGATTAAATATAGAAAAAAAAACAGATTTTTTATTTTATTTTATTTTTCTTCAATTAATGCCCTACACAATCCATTCACAAGACTTATAAATCAAATTGATAATCAACTCAATCTGTATAGATTTGTATGCAATGACCGTTATTGAAAGAGAAAATTCGCAGGTGCAAATATATATATATATATATATCAACATCATCCAGATTAAGTACTGTCTCATTCTAGATGTTCTTAATAAAAAAATAGCAAAATATTAAATATGCTATAATAAAGAAGTAGTAATACTTGAGGACATGTTTAATTTCATCTTTCTATATTTCTTCATCAAATTTACTGAAAGAATTGAAAAATACTTGAGTAGTCTGTTTGCTTCACTTTCAATATACTTTCATCTTGTTTATCGAAATCAAATGATGACTACATATAGTTATATGAAAATGTAATATCTCTAGATGTGCGATAAAGACCAATGAAGCTGACGAAAGAAATTATTGAAGTGTAACCGTACGAAAATAACATATATGAATGAAAAACGTACATATTGCACGTTTGTATTGTAAAATAAGAAATGCATATAACTCGAGTCATACTTAACTAATTTTAATAATTTTAACTTCTGAAAATCAAGATTCTATCTGTCTTTAATTTTATGTATGAAAAACTATCAATCATAGACGTTAAGAAATTTTTCATTTTTATGTAGATCAATATTTAAGACATTGAATATTTGTTTTAAAAGATTTTTATTGAATAATCTTTATTAAATGATGAAGATAAATATTTTAAAATGTAAAATAGTTTTATTAACAAAGTATTGAGTAACTTTAATAAAAGTAATTTATAGATATTGATATAGAAATTTTATACATATTCGACATCGTACTCACATTTTTTTTCTTCTGTATGGTCTATCGGATATACTCTTCATTCATATAGAAAAGAAAAATAATATAGATGGCTAGGTGAGGGACGTATATTATTACCTGTTTTTTGTCTTTTCTCTTCGTCATTCTTGATTCGTATTTTAATAGCGAAACCACGTTATATTTTTACTAATACGCATATATTTTTTATTTACAAAAGCGAATATGTGGCAGTTAAAAGAAGATATCTACTCATTATTTCAATCAGAAAAATATGCTCCAATCAATGGAATGCGTTCGATCTCCTGTTTAGCTATTATCTCATTACATATCGGCCAATTATTGAATTCATTTATTCCACCATATCCACATATACAATGGATGACTTACTTGAATAGTTATACATACAGATTATCAGCTCTTGAAGGATTATTATTGGAAACATTTTTCATGCTGTCTGGTTTTCTTCTTACATTGAAATTCATTCAACATCGAGATTCTTTCTCATTGAAAGAATATCCTTTATATATAATGAAACGTGCCTGTCGTTATTGGCCGGGAATCTTGCTGATTACTATAATAATGTTGATATTAGGTGAATCCCAAGGAAACTGGACAAGTTTCTGGCTATTTTATCAAAACTATATTAGTACGGATCAATGGTCATGGGGTTTTGTTATACTCTGGAGTGTCAGTCTTGATATGCAACTGCATATTATACTACCCATCATTCTTCATATTGTTATCAGCTCCAAATCGAATTATCAGAGAACTTATTTAGCATTATATATACTTGTTATATTGTCCATTGTTTATGTAATGCTTGTTTTTAATCCAAAGACTATGAATTTGTTGGTGCATGTATATCATAATAATGCCTTGGCATTAGGAATGCCGCAACGGTTTATTGATTGGGTTACAAATGAATACAATGTCACACTGGGATTCGAGAAGGTGATTGATCCCAGTCCAATAAAATCGTTCGCAGAACTGATATACTTGTCAATACCAGGTCGATATTCAAGTTTTATAATTGGATCTATTCTCGCATTTAATTTAATCAATGCAAAAAATAACACTATGATTCGTTACGGAACGATTAAAAAGTATACTTATTTAACATTCATTTTTCTATTTATGATCATATCGACGATACCAACTGAACCAAATGAAATCAGTGATGTAGTATTAACAATTATGGTTTCCATATTACGACAAATATTTTCAATATCCCAAGCATTTATTCTCTTTTCAGCTATTTGTCCATCCACACATCCTTACTATAGTCCATGGATTAGATCATTTTTATCGCATCCTGTATGGACACCACTTGCTAAACTGAGTTATTATATATATATAATTCATTGTCGAATTGCATTGGAATTGATAATGACTCACAGTCATATATTTGATCCTACACGGTACTCAATCGATATTCTAACAATTATATGCCTAATACTTGTATTCATAATTTGTCTCATCATATCTGTCATTTGGTTCATTTTCGTTGAAAAACCATTTCAACGATTGATCAATAAGCAACTATCCAGCCATGAAAAGTTGCATGCGACATAATCCATTCAAAGACTTTAATATGACTTTTATAATTAAATTATCTTTCGAATATTTTTTCTTCAACAAAATAAACATCTGCTGCTTCTATACTCTAATCTAATTAGTGAAAGTATTTAAAGTACTAAAATATGAATAATAATATTTATCATGTGAGCAAAAAACGAACTAAATAATTCATTTTATACAGTTTTTATTTTGAGAGTGAGGCTGTAGAATGGGTAGGATAGATTTTTTGAGGGTGTGGGTATTGTTTTTATACCATACCCACACCAACACACACCCTGGGGTGTTACTTTATCTTTTTTTATTCTCCTTTTCGTAGAGAAGAGTCTTGCAAACATACATTGTCTGCTTGCTTGTATGTTCGCACTTCACTGATTGGCCCAAAAATTAGATAAAGATATGAAAGGAATTTTTTTATAAGGGTTAACCGAAGGGTAATCGGAGGCAAAGAATTCAAATCTGATTTCTCTTTTGTATAATTATATGAATCAATAGCTTGGTAATTGTTTAGTAACGCGATTTCTACGAGAAGGGGCTGAGCGAGTCTTTAAACGAGCGTTACTTGTTTTATAAAGAAGAAAGATAAAGAAATAAAGATAAAGATAAAGGTAATCTTTATTTGCAAAAATAAAGTTAAAATAAAGGATAAAGATATTGTTTTTCATGCAGTAAGTACATATGCAAATACCCTGTATAAAAACAGAATACATTTATTCATGCTCTTTTTTGTCATCATCGTCATTTCCATATTATAGGTAACTATTTAATATCATAGTTTTTTGGTAGGTGCTTTAACAAATTAAAAAAATACGTTTCGATAAGAAAAAAAAAATCTTTATTCTTGGTTATAAAGTAAAAGAAAAATAAAGTAATACTACTAATTTCCACATATATACGGCTGTGAGTGGGATTTCTTTAACGAGAATTTGTTGGTGTTGAGAAAAAAAGCATGTCTTCTATCTTTTATTCACTATTTATCTTGAAACACATCGTATTTTTTTACAACGACATATCACTGTTGTTATTATTGTTTTATTACTACATGTACTTGAGTTGTAACAATAAGTTCTCCTTTATGAAATAAAAATTTAGGAAAAAAAACATAATTAACGTGATCAGTCTCATTTTTTTGTTTGACATACATTGTATTCTTTATTCGATCGCGAACCAATTGGCAATATATTGACATATGAAACTCAATTTAAAACGTCATTATGACGTTTTTTCTTTCCACACTAAGATAAGACGTAATTCACTTTCGGTTGATACCTTTCTATGCAAATATTAGGATTTGTTAAAGACAATGGCATTTTGATACAATCAATCGGAGCTTTTTTTTGAATGCATAGAATTTATATATAGATTATGGACCGTTGATTAAGCTTCTTAATAGCCGTGTTTCACGATAGCTTGGCTCTGACTCAGAACAAATATCCTAGTCACATTTAGGTAGTTTTATGGAAACTTTTCGTTTGTCGTATTGGATTTCGGGGTAGCGATGTTTTTTTAGTTAGGATAGTCAGTACTAGTAGATAATAATCTTTCACCAGATAGAAGAAATTAGCTCTGTTGATGACTTATTCAATTCTTTCATCTAAATTATCAATGTTCTAGACTAGTTCAGTAGCATTCAGATTAGGCCTGTGTTCTGACGATATGCTATCGAAGAATCTGCTAAAAAGACTCAAACAATATCTCAATACTTTGCATATTCGTTTATTAAACATTTATTTCTATTATAAATGTCTCCATTTGTACTATTAGATATAAATATGTATGTAAAAACATTTTTTTCGACCAAATAATCCTTAAGAAATGACCAATGAGGCATTAGATAGTATATCCAAATAGTTCCACGAAAGTTACTAACGGTACCTACAAAAAAGCGTTCAAAAAATGATAACTCTAATTTCTCACATGTTTGAGTTAAATAAGTAGTGCTTTCGCTCATGAGTATGAGCTGTACAGATGTAATTTAGATGAAAAGTTTCCATCAGTGATTGATAGAGTTATAGTTTCTTCTGATCTAGTAGTATGTTAATACTAAAAGAAAAGATTAAATTTCTTCTTAATATATGCTTTCAACTGCGTATTATAAATTTGCATTTTATTTTTTCTACAAGTGAAAGAGACCTCTCATATAATGCTTATTCAGATTAAATTACATAAAGTAAATTTATCGGAAGAATATAGAATCTTCTCTTCTTAAAAATTCACTTTTGAAAAAAAAAGTTACTTTTATTGTCGTTTGTTTTAAGATTTGATCTTTTCTGTTGCTAACTTAATTATTTTATACGTGAACTTATAACTATACAGAATGACTTGGAGCCATCAAGAATATATTATTGCTGGTTTTAGTATATCTTTTGGTATGGCTGTTGTAATCTTTGCTGTTTTATTCTTTCTTATACGCTGGCGTTCTAGAACATTTTATCGTATGATTGAAGTATTGTTTTCAATTAAACACTATGAAGCAACTCTATCTAACAGCAGAGAATTTCTTGATATTTATGGTGTACAAATTGATTTGCCAGCAACTACGTTTGGTTTTCTACCTGCTCTGGCCTTACTTATTATGGCAACAGCTGTCTTAACAGCAACATTTGTTCTTTTCATTTCTGAACTTATTTTAATTAGTCATTATGTGGCGCCGAATAGTAAATGTCCATCGGATGCTGAAATGGACTGTTATACAACTATTAATAATACATATTTTTTTTGTAATTCATCTGATACAAGAATTGATACGTCACTAGGAAGTCTCGTTTGTTATCGTTGGATCAAACAAAACATAGGAACTGTAGATATACTAAATCAAACTGGTCTATGTGGTGGATTACTTCAAGTATTTGGATGGTTCGTGAATATATTTTTACGTTTTTTACTTCATGTGTTACAGCGAAAGAAGTCGAGTCATACTGGCAGAGAGATGAATGAAACGAAAATTATTGATTTTTCATTACAAAAGTGGCATTTACTCAAGCTATGTTTAAAATTTTTTTTGGTGACTCTGATTACATTAAGTCCCCCTGTGGCTCTTATAATACTAGGTGCAATGAATATTAGTCGCACGGGAATAACGATGGCTATTTTGAGCGTAGTATTTCTTATAGATATATCGGGTCTTTTGGTATTTCTTACCTATGAGAGCACAAAATTTAAGCATCGTAACATATTTTCCAATAAAGCCGATACAATTTCTTCATTGGTATCTGATGTGACATTTCAAAGATTTTAAACTAAACTATGGCAAGAAGCATGTGTGTCGATAGCCACAATTCTTTTACTATTTATTGTCCTTCTATGTTATCATTGCTGTATAATATCATCATTCTTCGATTTCATTCTTGAGTAACATTGCTCTTAAATAATATAAATATCTTGATGAAAAAATTCTCGTTCTCTTGAAAATGTAGATATTTGTTTCTTTTTGAACTGTGCTCTCGCTCTCACTGACAACTCAGTTTTCGACGCTGACTCTAAATGTGACATCAGTTCTGTTATAGATTCTACTGTACTCTATTAAAAAGGCTCATTAATAATCAAAAATCATCAATACTATGAAAAAAGCATATTTTTCCTATTAATTCATTCTGACAGTAAGTAGACTATAATACGGTCAATTATTGAATCAACAATCATAAAATAATTTACTTTGTTAATAGTTTTTTGCTTCAAAAATTCAATGAAAATTCAGTGAAAATAGTATCAAAATATAAATTTTAGCGTGTTCTCAGATTAATAAATCCAATACCGGATACAATCGGATTCCGGACAATAAATCTACATAGAAATTCGACCGTAAAATTCTATTTTACTAATTGGTTACTAATTAATGTCTGGGGACATTATTAGGGATCCGCCACAACTCGTGTGGGATTTCATCGATTTTATAAAAATCCAATACAATCCGACTATCGGATTGGTGAACTTGAGTTCTTTCAATTGATATATAATTCAATGGGGTTGATCAACAATGTCCAAATGTGTTGATTTGAATAATTTTAATTATTTGAGTAAATGTATTTTATTAATTTGATATAAGAGGAAATATTTAATGAAAAAAAATGTTTCTGATAAATTATTTCATTTGTTAAATAAATAAAAAATGAAATTATTGAATAAGTAGAAGAGTATGCACAAGTGGTTCAATTTGATCCATAACGTCTGATGTAATTGATTGTATACGAAAAAATTCTCGAATTATTTTTCCAACTGATTGAATTCGAATAATAATTGTAATTAAATGAGTAAAACATTTCCAAGTTTTAATTTCACCTTGTTTATTAATTAAATATTTCCAAAGTAATTCAATATAATAAGATTGAAATTGATTAACAATTAATGAATCTTTTAAAGTTGGTTCATTTTCATTCATTGATAAACCTTGACTAAATAAAAGAATTATTAATAAAAATGATAAAAATATTGGATCTTGTTCAGTTATTTTAACAAGTGAATGAATTAAATTAACAAACATATCACGTATACCATATGAATCTCCACATAATAGAAAGAATTGTCGATGTTTTTCTGCAAGTTGATTATTATCATATGAACAACAATCATTTGATCGTTTAAAATAAAAACATTTTAATATTAAAAAAAGTGAAAAAATATTATATTTTATTAAAATAAATCGATCATCAATATTTAATTGTTCAAATTGATTTATTTTACGAAAAAATTTAATAGAATCTAATATATTTCGACTTGCAAATTGTGACCAAGATACAAGAGCACATATACGATTTGATATATCAACACATGAACATTGATTATTATGATCTTGAAATATTAATACAAATGATGAACGAATATTTTCAATTATTAACAAATCTTCAGCAGATAACAATTCATTTTTATTATCACAAATCAAAATAATATCATCTTCTTTAACAATATCCATCATTAACTATTTAAATAACAAATTCAATAATAAATAATGCACAAAAATGATTTTTTAGTCGGATTTCGAGTTATTTAAGGAATGAAACTCCGGACATCTCTAACTTTTCTTTTTTCGATACAAAATTTAAAAAAGATAAACTGATTTACTCAACAATCTAACTACGATTTATATGAGCTTTCGTTCATCAGGATCGATGCCAAAAGTAAAGTATATGATATAAATGTGTATTTGTTCTAATGAACCCGGTTGTAGAGTCAAGAATAAAACGCAGATTTGGAACCATGAGCATCCTCAGTACTTTTTGAGCATGTTCTTAGTAACGTTTTGTGTTTAAATGTTACAATTACTTTGATAGTACGAAATCAACTAATTTCAATGGAAAATGCTAAAGATTCCAAATCTGCATTTACCCATTGTGTAGAATTAAAGTATAAGAAAATCTTACATTATCAGTCGTATGAGTTGGTTGTGAAACAGATTTTGATGAAATATGTCGTTTTTGTTGATGATTAATTCTAAGATCTTTTCTCATTCCCACTTGAAAACAACGATCCAATCGACATCGTGGACATTTTCGATCATGTTTATAATCTATTGAACATTGACCTTGACGTAATAAACATTTTAATTTGTTCTAAAAAAAACTAATCTTCAATTAATTTAAGATTAATAAATAAAAATTTCATTACTCTTTGATTTTGATTTCGATAAAAAAATATTCGACATGAAGCACAAGTAAGTACATCATAATTATATCCAATAGCAACATTACGACAAATAACACAAATACGATCATTGAATTTATCAATTTTTGAATTCTATTAAGAAAATAAAAACATAAATTTTGTTCTTTATTTAAAAATGAATACAAACAAGTTGAGATAAATTATCAAGATAATTGAAATTAATTGTATGTGTATCTGGAATTTTATTTGCCGATAATTGATTAATTAAATCTTCATTTGATGTTAGAATTATCACTCTATTTTCATTATCCATTTGTTTTATTTAATATATCACGTTTTTTTTCGAAGGATATTTATCGAATAATAACAAGTATAAACGAAAAAGAATGAATAAATCAAGTACAGTTATGCTTCATCAACCGTCAATTAGACAAAATGACTCAGCTTTTTTCTAGTCATCATAAGTATCCTTAGTTGTTTTTTTCTCATAAAACTTATAAAATAAGATTAAATCATAACGATTATTTTAGTTTTTATTTTCAAATTTCGTAAAAATCTAAATAAAAATGAAATTACAGAATTTTTTACTGTAAAAAAAAGAGTAACGATCAAAAAAGAGAGTGAAATACATGAAAAATTTATCTTAATTGATGTTTGTTTTATCTTTATTTAATTCAGTTGAACATCGTATATAAATATTTGATAAAAAAAAAGAATTGAAATTTGTGATTGATTAATAAAAGAAAATCCAGGTGATAGTTTTGTACATGTATGTACATGTATGTACATACGCCAACGCACGACCTTTTCTTCTGCAAATATTTGTGAGAGTATATAAGAATACAGATATTTATGTTATTTTACACAGAAATAAGATAACTATTTATCATCAATTATTGTTTATTTTATTTATTGAATTTGAATATGTTAAATGATTTATTAAAAAATGGATCTCATAATGAATTCGAAAATGATATAATTGTATCATGGTTTCCATGGAAAGTTAAACAATTAGGAATTAAAACACTTTTACAAGAAAAATATAAAGGTGATGGAAATGAAAATAGTCCATTTATAATTGATTGGCTTAGTTTTGATCCAGAAAATCCTAAGAAATGGATGAATTTCTATAAATGGTTTCTAACATTGATTGTAAACAGTGCAACATTTGTAATAATATTTATTTCTTCAGCTTATATTGGTCCATTTAAAGAACTTAAAGAAGAATTTCATGCAAGTGATGAATTAATTATACTTGGTCTATCATTATTTACTCTTAGTTTTTCAATAACACCTTTATTTTGGGCACCATTTTCCGAAATTTTTGGTCGACGATTACTCTTCATAATAACTTATGGTGGATTAGTTACATTTATTGGTGGTACAGTAGCATCACAAAATATTTGGACATTAATTATACTTCGATTCTTTGCCGGATCATTTGCTGCTTCATCAATGGCAAATTCTGGAGGTGTTATTGCTGATTTATTTGAAGGATCTGAACGTGGTATTCCTTTATCAATATTTGTTGGATCAACATTTTTAGGTATTATAATTGGACCAATTGTTGGAGGATTTGTAGGTGAAACAATTGGATGGCGTTGGGTTGAAGGACTAATGACTATTTCTAGTGGAATAATATGGATAATTATTTGTTTATTTTTATCCGAAACATATAGTCCAGTTATTCTACGTAAAAGAGCAAAAAAATTAAGAAATGTAACAGGAAAAATTTATCGTTCAAAATTCGAAGAAAAAAGCGAGATAAAATTTGTTAAACTTTTTAAAAATTCTCTTTCACGTCCATGGATTCTTTTATTTCGTGAACCAATTGTTTTTCTTCTTTCAATTTATACAGCAATTATTTTTGGAATTCTTCATATGTTTCTTGATGCTTTTCCAATTGTTTATCAAGATAAACGAAATTGGAGTGAAGGAATTGGTGAATTACCTTTTATTGGAGTTTTAATTGGAATTATTCTTGCAACTATTTATACAATATTAGATAATATTAGATATAATTATACAACAAATAAATATAATCCACAATGTCCTTTACCTGAAACTCGTCTTCCACCCGCTATAGTTGGTTCTATTTGTTTACCTATTGGATTATTTTGGTTTGCTTGGACTAATTCTCCATCTATTCATTGGATTGTTTCAGTTATTGCAAGTGTACCTTTTGGTTTCGGTATGACTTCTATTTTTGTTGGTGTTTTTAATTATTTAATTGATACCTATACAATATATACAGCTTCAGCATTTGCAGCTAATATGATAACACGATATATTTTTGGATCAGTTTTTCTTTTATTTACAAATCAAATGTATGAAAAATTAGGAATTCATTGGGCTACATCTATACCAGCATTTTTAACATTGATTTGTTTACCATTTCCATTGATTTTTTATAAATATGGTCAAAATATACGAAAAAAAATCGAAATTTGCTTCGCAAACTCAACAAATAAATCAACACGCAACGATTGATGTAAATACACACAATCAAAAAACGAACATTGAACTAAAAAACAAAAATATTTTTAATTTATAATTTTAATTAATTATTTCATAATTAAATAAATACATATCTTGTCTTCTAATATTATTCAACTGAAAAATCGATGTTCTTTTTTGAATTACGTTTCTAATGATATTTTTCCGAGGGAATCTATAACAGATTAATATACATATATTAGCTATTGAAAAGTTTATGATTACGAAGGGTGTGGGTATGGGTGTTGTACTTCTCGCATATCCAGACTCAGATTCATACCCTTGTTATATTCATTATATCAGCTACCTGTTATCTGGTAAAGCAAAGATAACTTGTCACCGCTAAGCAAGGCAGAACATTTTTTTTTCTTCCAACTATATATTTGCATAGCTCTTCAGTGAATTTATCAAGTTTTTTTTTATAGAAGATTGCTTTTTCTTTCTTTCTTTTTATGGTGCAGTAGACCCTTGTAAAGATCTCGATTATAACTTCACTTCTTTTCATTTTCGTTCTGTTCTTCCTTTCTACTTTTATCTAATCGAAAACCTTGGAAATTTTCACATTATAACAATTTGATGATGAAATTGTGAATATCAAAACATATTGAAAAACACTACTTCCAACAATAATTTTTGGCCTACCATATAGACACTCATATCCAGTACACTCACCCACCTCCCTCAATCACTAAGAAGTATTACATTACATTAAATATATGTAGTTTTGTATTTATTCATAGAATAAAATAGCGAAATGCCATCGAACAGACAACAACATTTAAATACTAATAGGAATACAAACCCTTCTAATTCGACTAATAATGACACAATTGAGCAAACTTTGAATAGCACCGGTAAATGTGAAGATGGCTTTTTTGTCGACATGTTTTCTTTGTTTTGTGTGGTTTTTTCATTGTAGGCACGGGTATGTCAGCAAGCGAAATAAATGAACTCAATCAATCTGGCGACATATCACTACAACGACAAATAAGTAGCGGTATGTGCATTTCTGAAGTAAAATAACTCCCTAAGAACGATAGTGCATGTAGTTAGAATGAGAAATAAAATTGCGTATTATTCGAATAACTAGTAGTTAATCATTTGATCATTCTTATCTCTATAAATCTAATAGTTTCCTGTTAAATGATATTCTTTATATGATATGTTTATAAATTTGATATTGATCTGTAATTTTATAGACAACGCTATCATTTGCGAAATTTCTCGTAAATATAAAATATTACCGGAAACGGCGAATCATCTTCGAGGACTTCGAGATTATGAAATCGTGATTGTGTGCGATGATTCTGGTTCAATGAGAACAGAAGTTGATGATACTGAGCGCACTCGGTGGGACGAACTACGCGATTTCGTTAAAATTGTACTTGATATTGGTGTTAGATACGATTCGAACGGTGTTGATATTTACTTCCTGAACAGGGAAAAATTGCTTGGAGTGAGAGAACCGAGAACTGTTGAACAAGCATTTAGTGAACCTCCAAGTGGCTTGACACCTATGGTGCCTGTTTTGAAAAAAATCTTCCAATCAGAACTAGCACGTCGTGGGCGTGATAAAAAGTTATTAGTTTTCGTAGCAACAGATGGACTGTCCACCGATGAACATGAAAAAGAAAATCCAGAAGAACTTGAACGTCTCATGCAAGAAGAGCGAAATGCCAAAACCACCCATATTTCCTTTTTACTATGTACTGATGATCCTAGTTGTGTCGAGCGCATGAAAAAGTGGGATCAAATAATGCAAAATGTTGATGTTACCAATGATTATGAGACAGAAAAGCAAAGGATTCTTGAACACAGTGGAGCTAACTATCCTTTCTCGCATGGCGAATATGTTGTGAAAGCATTGGTTGGTGCTATTGATCGTTCAGTTGATGTCAGTGATGAACCGCATTGAATGAACGAATTTTTCATTCTGGATATCGGCAAGAATATAAATGTCTGACTTCTTTTAATTTTGACAAGCTAATACTGAAATAATAGTGATGAGAATAATAATAATGATTTTTTTTTGTCTTTTCAATAATAAATACTTACGTCAGTCCAAAAGTAGTGAGATTGATTTTGTAGTTCTTCATAAAAAGGGTGTAGGTGAGGATATGGGAGGAGTACAACACCCACACAATGTAACAAGAACAGTATCTGGTGGTCTATATTATTTAGTTATTGTTGATCAAAATACTAATCGTTTTATTGGTTCAAGTCCATATGGATATAGATGTTTAGTTGGATGTTCTCAACAAGCAGGTTCAACATCTTCTCAATTAAATCAACCTTATAGCATGAGTTTCGATAATCAAGAAAATATTTATATTAAAGATAAAAATAATGCACGAGTACAAATGTTCAATTTAATACAAATTCAAATTCCTGCGATAAGTTTTATGAATATCATATTTATTATATATATTCTTCATAAGATACTCTCTTGACATAAACTCCACCATCATCAACTTTGGGTAATTGAAAATCGTCATTATCACCTTCAATTACACATAGTTTAACAATATCGTCTATGCAATTTTCTTCATCAATAACTATTTCTGTTTGTTCTAATCTTTTATTATTATTACTCTTCACTTTTGTATTTATTTCATTAATTAATTATATATTCCTTCTTCTTAATCTTACAAGAGTTACCAAAAATAACAATAAAATCAAATGAATAATACATCATATACAATTAAGAATTATTATGTCTTCGATGAAGAATGAAGAAAAAATTGTGGATTTAATTTCAAAAATCCATATTCAAAGAAATAAGGTCCTCCGTCAACATTATTTTCTTTATTGAAAATAACATAATTATTGTTACGCATGAGATCGAATATACCTTCAATAATAGTAACATTTATTGGATGTAATTCAACTAGAATTTGTCGTGGCCATATATTTTTTATTGAATTAAATATCTGTGGAAGAAATGAATATTCACCACCTTCAATATCAATTTTAAGTACATCGATGAATCGATGTGTATGGCTCAATTTTTGAATAATAGTCGACCAAGTTTTGGAATTATTTAGTTGAATATCAGTACCAAACATGATTTGATGAAATATACATGTATTTTTTGGACATAAATATCGATTTTTATCGAATGTATGAATTTCACAATGAGGTAGAACTTTTTTCATATGAATTTCAAAAGAAAAATCTCCACTTGATCCAGCACTATAAATTAAACAATTATTTTGTGATTTCATTCGAAATAAATCACAAATCCATTTCCCACCATCACCCATAGCTCCAATACGTTCAGCATGAGAACAATGAAAATTCGGTTCCCAATTTGACGCAAAATAGTAACTGTTTGGACGTCTTATTAAATTTTCTTTTTCTTGAGTTTGATAAATATATTTACGTTTATTCCAAAGATAATTTGATTCACAAATAAATCCATCACTTTCATTAAGAGATTGTTGACAATCATTATCATTATTATTGAAATGAGTTACATGTGAACATAATCGATAATTCCAAATTATCACAATAAATATAAATAATAGAATCCAACCTAATGATTGAAATACTATTGAAAATCGAACAACTGGTTTTGTCATAGAACAATTCAATTTTTGTTAATCATAATAAATATTTTACATTTTTACGTCGCACATGCTGCGTTTTTACTTGTTCGTAGTTATAGACTTTTTTTTACATGTCATTATTTATTCTTCTACCTTAAATTCAATTCTTTTCGTTTCTGTCAATAACTGAAAAATTCTTATTCTGCCATTCTAAGTGCTTGTCGTCTAGACATTCAAAGTAAACTAATCATACTCTTACAAACGAAAGAAATTCACAAAATATGATTCGCTTAATATCAAAGTATAAGGAGTCGCTAATCATCTGACTAAAAGATAAAATATTTGTTAAATTATACTACTTAGATTGACGTATGATATTTATACTGATTCTATTGCGATTGAATTGTTAATTTAATTATTCATTTTTTTTATATTGAAAACTATTCTTTAAAATTCATCACTTACAATCTATCTTTTTATTTCATTAATATTACACTTTGTGTATAAGTATGATAAAATTGCATTTGTTTTCAATCAAAACATTGCAGCCAACGGTTGAAATATAGATATGAATGGTTGTATCCATCCAATATGATATTTTTCAATATTATTTGATTAAATTTATAGACAAATTACAACACACTATTCTAGTTACCTTTTCTAAATATACACAAAAACAATTTCATTTTGAATAAAAAAGAAAAAATAAAGTCTTAGTATCAATGTTGTGAAATGGTTATTTGATATTGTAAATTTTCAATCTACTCATTTATAAATCTATTTTTACGTATGTTTTTTTGAAATATGATATTCAAAGTTTTTGAAAATGAATTAATCTATTTTCACTAAAGTATCAAATATTTATAAGCCATGTTAAATCACTTTAAGACGTCAAAATAATCATTTATTTCATTTCATATATATTCTTAGGATTTTTTTCATAAATTTGGACGACAATTGAGAAGCTATGGCTATTACACAGAACCTTTCTGTTTTATTCATTATTATTGCTGTTATTTTCATTGATTGTATTTTTCATCAAGTAAATTGTGTATCACCTGTTCCTGGTAAAAAAATAACAACAGCATATGGTGTGAAAGGTTCAGCATGGGTACTTGGTTATCATGTAGGTGCTGATTATGCTTGTCCCATTGGAACAAAAGTAGTAGCAACAAAAGATGGAGTTGTTAAGAATTTAAATTGGGGTGCAGCTCTAGGAACACATGTTATCATTGAAACAAAAGATACGAATGGCAAACTTGTTCAACATCTCTACGCACATTTAAGTAAAAAATTAGTTAAAGCTGGTGATAAAGTTAAAGCTGGACAAGAAATAGCTAAAAGTGGAAATACAGGTCAAGTAACTGGTCCTCATGTTCATTATGCTGAACGTGTCTCACCATTTGCTTATGCAAATCATCGAAAACCACTATTTAATTGAAATAATGTTTCATTTTGAATAGATAATATGAATAAAAAATCTAACAAAATGTTGAGCATCACTTTCATTCACTTAAGTTGGATGAAATAATAATGAAACTAGCATGATGATATTTTTTCAATGATATCAAAAATAATATCTATATCAAAAGGATATTCGAGTAGGTGAGAATGCATATACTCTCTTTTTATTCTCATTCACACATATTCTAATAATCATACCTTTATTCTTGGCTATAATTATAAAAAAAAAGATACAATTGCAATCGCTCTTTTCATAATCAGATCAAGTAAATCATGGAAGAATGTCAATTAATTCGTAATATTAAAAATAAAATAGATTTCAAAAATACTACTCTCTCATATATATCAAAATATACATTCATATGCGACAAACATAAGATTCATAGAAAAGATCCTAATATTTCATTTTTCTAAATAAGTTTTTTTGTTTTTATTCATAAACGTAGTATGTATACATATTCATACTATAGCGTCATCTTTCTCTTCGTATGTATCGAATGTTGAATATGCACACCAACCAATTTTTTTCTTATCTGTTGATTGTTGGATGTGTGTATTACAAAGATTGATGACGTCAATTTCTTTTTGCAAAAAAATTGTTTTAGTTTTGCATTATTTCCCACATTAGTAGTCAGTAAAAAATATATACAAATAAAGATTTTATTTTCTTACGTTATTATTATATCTTTATTTCATAGCGTCTTGTCGCCAGTTTCTCTGTCTCTAGTCTCACAGACGAACAGGACAAAAGCTGTTGCCTACATTTCATTTTCGTTTTATATGTTATATATAAAATAGTATTAAAACAAATACATTTTTTTATATTTGGGTATGGATGTGGATTTGAGTATTATATCCATTACACATCCACTCTCAACTTATAAGTTTCAGATATTATTTTTTGAGTAAATGATTTCTTTTTGATGTTAGTTAACATATATTCTCTGCTTCTATCTATTTGTTAGATAACATTTTACTCGATGAGTGAAAATATGCTTTCACAATTTGTCGATAAAGGAAAAAGTTTAACATCTTCAATTTTCAATCAGTCAAAGAACGTTGGCAATCTTACTTTAACTGCTGCGAATACTGCTAAAACCAAATGGAACCAAAGTTCTACAACAACAAAAGCATGTATAATTGGATCGACTGCTGCTGTAACAGCTCCACTGGCCATTCTACCCGTCTTAGGTTTGGCGGGATTTACATCGGCTGGTGTAGCAGCCGGTAGTATCGCAGCATCCATGCAAACGGCAGCAACAGCATCAGGAGGCATCTTTGCTCTATGTCAATCTGCTGGGGCTGTTGGTGCAGTAGCTACATCAACTTCTGTGGGTGTAGGGCTTGCAGCTAGTGCTACTGCAGGTGGTGTAACGGCAGTAGTTTGTGAGAAAAGGCGATAACGTTACAATTTACTTCGTTACTTTACATTCATACTATGATATAATCATGTAAATTTTATAAAAATAAATTCACTAGTCTATTTTTAAGCTCATAGCTATTCAAGTTAAATATTCTTCAGTATTGTTAATATCATAAGACTATTCTATGAATGAATGTGGGTGTAGGTTTTGAGTTTGGATTAGAGATCCAGACTTCATTAACAGTTTATATTGCAATTTGTGTCGGCTATATACATATATAACGCATAGAAGTCTTATATAAATGACAGCTGGAAAAATAACTAAATAATTTGGATTTGGGACATGCCTATTCTAAGATACTTAAATATTTAGCTTCAAGTTTCAATGTTTTCGAATCTTTCAAGAAGAATTTTAATATTTATGGATATCCAAAGAAAAAACACGTCTCATGATTTAATAATAATAAAAACTTTATTCATTTGCAGTATATCTCAATGACGTACATTGCATTTCTCAATAAGTAATATTTACAGGATTGATGAACGAAAATTTCATTTCAAGAGATTATATAGGAAAAAGCTCATTAAAATAATTATCAATCATCTCATTTTATTTTCTCAATATTGCTTTCCATTTACTACTCGCTGCCTATAAATATTTAAGAAAATCATGCTAACTCTAAGCATTCTATGTACTACTATTTTTTATTATTCATCTACACTGTATTCATTTGAAATACATTAAGATAGAGGCAATGGCACATTTAAGAATATTATCCTATGTTATATTCTTATTACCAATAATTATTGATTCACAATAAATATGAATCACCCAGAATGGGAAATTGATAGTTAAAATAGTATTGTAATTCAATATGATTGTCTTTATATATCCGGATGGATAAATGAAATGAATATTTGTGAAATAATTCCATATTGTCCGAGTGAATAGCCTTCTCAATGGAGTATTCAACAAACTGATTCTTGAGGGTGGGCGTAGATGTGAGTGTGAATGTATTTATAGGTATGAGTAGTATACACTCAAACCCACACCCTAAACTTCATATAAACTCTTCAAGACACTGTGACAAAAAAAATAATGATAATATTTTTAGTTGATGTTTATTCTCCGTTCTTTCATTGGCAATCTCCATTATCTTGAAATAACACTCGCTTATTTTATCGATGTGAAGCTAGCACCACGAAACGTTAGCACCACCAAAAAAATAACCAATCAGATTTCGTCCACAAAATACCCATGATATCCATAGATTACCATGCAAAACTTCTTAGTTACCATCAAAACTCAATCTTAACACACACTTTTAGACCATCTGCTACTCCAAGCATGTACCAAGTCAGCATAAAACCTTCCTCAATCAAAAATCCCACCAAATCAACGATAAAACACCACCACAAACAAAACACACAATCGACATATAATCCGTCATTCCTTCTTCACCAACGATTTCCCGAGCATACAAACTCTTCCCCTCGATGTAGAATTGAAATCTGCATCGAACGGAGTTATTTCCATGCCCCGGCAATATTTCTGAAGAACGAAAAATCGTCAACTA